GGATTGTTCCTGAGAGTAAATTTAGGAACGGACTTTTTCGCCTGTGAACAGTCAAGACTTTCTTCTCTTCAAGAACGATCTAATTTTGCGTGCAAGGACAGTTCGCGTGGTGAAGCCTCTTCAGTGACAAGTGACAGTGTGTCAGAAGGGAACGCCGGACGAAGCGTGATCTAGTGCCGCAAAATAGTGAAATTTCCTGGAAAAATATCCAAGTAGTGCCAGGAGAGTCAATCGAAGGCGTCTTCAAAATCGGTGAGTACCATTTTTGTGATTTTGGAGAGGTTATGCCAGTTATTCGAGACTAGGCTTATTTTTGGATATAAAGCAGGAAAAGGTTGCCTCTTAATTAGTATTTTTTATATACGCTTTGTTTGTAGGCATAGGTATTATCATTAAGTGTTGCAAGGCAATTTGTGTTCAGAATTGTTAGGTAATTATTAAATTTTGGAGAGATAGACCTGTTGTTGTTTTTGTGTTATTGTATTTCGGGGTAGGTTATTTTTCTTTAATTTTCCATAATGGGTGAGTTTATGAGGAAATTTACTAAAGCTCTGCTATTGGAGTTAGCGGAGGAGTTTGAAATAAATGTGTCTCAGGCAAATAGAGTAAGAGAAATTATGCAGGCTATTCTAAATGCCGATGACTATGAAGAAGAAGCTGCGAAAGAATACGCGGCAAGAATTTGGGCTGCGGCTGAGCAGAGAAAAGCAAAAGAAATAGCCGAACAATAGAGAGCAGAGCGGGAACGTGAACAAGAGAGAGCAGAAAGGGAACGTGAACAAGAGAGAGCAGAACGAGAACGTGAACAAGAGAGAGCGGAACGGGAACGGGAGCGAGTTTTTGAATTGGAAAGGTTAAAACTGATGAATGTGGTTCAGACTATTAGTTTAGCTTCCACGGTTTCGAAAGTTGAACAATCTAGAGGAAAAAAAAAAAAGTTAATTTGAAAGATCTAGTACCGCGTTTTGAACAGAGTAATATAGATATTTCATTATTCTTTATACTATTTGAGAAACAAGCTCAAAAGGAAAATGTTAATGAGATTGATTGGGTCTCGCAATTAATTCCTTTATTACCTCACGATGTAGCCCAGTTAATAGTGAAACAACCAGTGGATAAAGGGAATGATTATTAGCATGTTAAGAAATTACTCATGCAGAGATTCAAGCTTAGTTCTTGGGCACTAAAAACAAAATTTGAAGAACATTCTAGAAAAAAGGGAATGTTATGGGTGGATTTAGTGTATGAATTGAGAGTGTATTTAGAGAATTGGTTGGATTCAGTAGAAGTTCAAGATTTTGAAAGTCTTAAGGAACTTATGCTCACTGAGCAAATTAAGCGGCGAGTCCCTCTAGAAATAAGAGAGCACTACTTAGACAATTGGGAAGAATTTAAAACAGCTTCCATTTTAGCAGAGAAATGCGACAAGTATGAGGCTTTGCTAAGAGAGGTGCTACTTTGGTAGACGGTTGCACGGAGTTTTGGCGATTTACGTTGGCGCAATGGTTGGCGCGATTTTTACAATCGTCAGCCATCCTTGAAAACGCTGTTTTTACGCATAGTAAAGTATTCGAAACTTAAAAAAAATAAATATCGTTAAAAGTAATGGCCTAATTTTTTGTTGAAAATGTCGTTTTTTAAGATGGCAGGCAAATATAAATAAATACATTTACTATGAGTATAAAGTACTAAAGTAAGGCAATTATTACTTTCATATAGCAAAAAAGAGAATAAAAACACCGCTATAAAAACATTGTGCCAACGTTTAATTAGATTAAAATATTACTGAAATTGAATATCGAATTAGAAACCATCCTACCAACATTTAAAAGAATTAGAATATTATTAAATTCAAATACTTTAAAGTATGTTATATAAAATATAATTAACATTAAAACATATGTGACAATAATTATCTCAGCAATTTTTGAAAATAGTGTATTAATTTTTTTAACAAAAATTGAAGTATACAATTATAAAATAAAAGAAAAATATGTACTTACATTTTTTGAGTAATTTAATCTCTTGTTTATTGATAAGTACTACAAAAAAAATCGAAATCATAATTGAATCGGATCTTTTAACCATCTTCATCTTTTATCCAAATATCTCGCACTTCATTGAAGAAGCAATTATCGAGGTTTCCTCCAAAATTTAAAAATTTCCTCTGACGCTATTAACAATTTATAAATAAATCTTTGATTCGGAAAGACAGGTTGGCCAAAATAAAGTCTCAAAGGGCAATTTTTTTATTCCAATACTAATAATTCTTGGTAATTACCAATAACAACATTCGTCTTCGAAACGGAGATATCCATTCCCTTTGAAATCCGAGGAATTCGAAGAGATGAATAATAAAATTTTAAAATGGCGCGGTAATGCACAAATATTCAGTAACCAATCAGGCAGCTGATTACATCACGCATAGAATTAAAATTATTTAAATAATCATTCATAATAAAATCGTATTTAAAAAAATGAAAAATTAAATTGAATTTTAATATTTAACAGCCATAAATAATGTTTAAAACATTAAACTTATAGATATTAAAACCAATTACTTTTAAAATAATGTGACGTCATTCATTACATCATCCACAACATAAAATTATATAAAATATTATAAACAACAAAATTTTTATTTCGAATAAAAATGTAAAATTAAATTGATTTTTAATATTTAGAAGCCATAAATAATATTTAAAACACGGAAGTTATGCATAATAAAACGCATTATTTTTTTAATAAAATGACAACAAAGGATCGGTTACCATAAATAACTTATCCAGCAATGGGTTTACCATAAGTGGTATTACTCGCCAAAAGGCAAATCGCCAAAAAGTCGCCAAAATCCGTTTAACCGTCTACCAAAGTAGCACCCGAAGAGATACGAGGAAGTTAGAACAGAGAGCTGGGTTAAAGAAACCATTTGAGAAAAATAGAGAGCGGTATATAAATTCTAACTGTAGTTATAATCAGAAAAGTATTGGTCATCAAAGAATTAAATCAGAGGAGCATAGAAAAGTGGAGGCTCCTAAAAAAAAGCAAGTTTTCAATGAAGCAGGTTTCGAGAAACAGCGGAAAATAAGGTGTTACCAATGTGGAAAGGACGGACATATCTGTCCATCGCTGGAAAAGAATAAGGCTAATCTGGTGAATAATGTAGGAACGGAGAGTTTAGGAAAATGTTTTGAACCGTATTTTAAGAAAGCAGTAATTAATGGGATAGAGAGAGAATATCTGAGAGATACTGGAGCTGGTATAGAGATCTGTGTAATAGTACTTGGATTAATACTAGTGACTTATTAGGGAAAACTGTATGGGTGAAACAGCCTTTAGACACAGAATGTAAATGTTTACCTTTGGCGAAAGTCACCATTGAAGGTGATTTTGGTGTGGTCACCATAAAGGCAGCGGTTACTCCGGTAGAGTTAGATAAAGAATACTATTTGTTAGGGAATAAAAACTGCACAGTTGATTGAGGAAATTAGGGAACGACCGGTTCTCTTGAATGCTGTGGAGACTCGTAGTCAGGCGCGTGCACGCAGGAGTCTAGAGAGAGAGAGTGCAAAAGACTTAGATTCCAAATCGGAAGAAAAGAAAGAGATGGAAAGTGAAAGGGCCGTCAATACTGAGCATTCCAAAGAAAGGAAGTTAAGCAGTAATACGGAGGAGGCAATTAAAATTGCAGACATCAGTTCAGAAGAAAGGTCCAGACATCAGTTTAGAAGAAAGGTCTATCCTTTCTTCTAAGCTGATGGCCAGCAGAATTCTTGGAAGCACAAAAATCTTGCGCTAGTTTAGCGACCCTGTGGAATAAAGGGGAAAAGTGAAAATGAAAAAGAGTTTATAATAGTCAAGGAAAGACTATTCAGAGTGGCAGATTCTAAAAAAGGGGAAGATAAGCGTCAGCTGTGTGTGCCTCTCGTTTTTAGGAAAGGGATCTTGAAGTTATGCCACGAGGAAATCTCTGGTCATTTAGGGGTAACAAAAACCAAGGATAGAGTTTTGACACACTATTTCTGGCCTAATTGCTACCAGAAAATCGAAGAATTTGTGAGGACGTGCGATATTTGTCAGCGTGTAGGTCACAATAAGGATAAAAAGAAAGCCCCTATGAAGATTGTACCTGTTATATCAGAAGTGTTTAGCAGATTAAATATTGATGCAGTAGGACCTCTGATCCCTAGTTCGCGTGAAAATATATACTTAATTACCTCTATTTGTGTTGCTTCCAAATATTCAGATGCCATTCCTGTACAGAATTTAAACTCTAAATGTGTGATTCAAGCCTTGATACAAATCTTTTCTAGATCAGGTTACCCTAAGGAAATTCAGTGTGATTTGGATAGATCGTTTACCAGTTAACTTACATCTGAGTTCTTTAGCAACTTCGGAATTAAGGTGTATCATTCTTCTGTGTGTCACCTTCAAAGCAATTCTGTTGAAAGGCTGCATTCCACCTTGAAAAGGGTATTGAAGGCTTTGTGCTTGGAAAGCGAGAAGGACTGGGAAGAATGTTTGCCATGTGCTTTGTTCGCCCTCAGAACTGTTAGCCATGAGAGCACAGGTTTTAGTCCCTGCGAATTAGTACATGGAAAAAATTTGAAAATGCCTCAAACGATTGTGTATGAAAACTGGCTAGAGGAAGAAAATTCAGACCCCACTGTGGTCGATTATGTTCTAGACTTAATAAACAGATTAAAGAAGTGTCAGGAGCCGGCTGTAGAGAGGATGAAAGAGTGTCAGAGTAAAAGGAAACGCTGGTATGATCGCAACGCTGTTACGAGAAGGTTTAAGGTCGGAGATCTCGTGCTTGTTTTAGATTCGTCTAAACCACACAAAATGGCTCTGAACTGAATAGGGCCAGGTAAAGTAACTAGTGTGATTTCCGAAACCAATTATACGGTAGAGATTCCGGGTAAGCGTAGCAGTGACACCTTTATCACGTAAATTTGATGAAACCTTATTATCAGCGCCACGAGTTTGTGAATTTTGTGATGGAGGAGGTCATGGAAGATATTGAGGGAGAAGTGCATAATCCTTATCCCTTGGCTGATCCAACTCAGGTAGATTTTTGGAAAATAGTTGGAGATAGTAAGCTAGAAGAAAGAGCTTCGGCAGAGGAAATAGGAAAATTCCAAGAAGATATAAGGAAGTATGGAGCGGTGTTTTCGTCCGACCCCGGCTGTACGTTTTTGGTCGAAATGTATATTAAATTGTTGGAAGAGACTCCGGTTAAAGTCAGGCCTTACCGAATGTCGGCGAGACAAACTGACATCCTAAAAGAGGAAATTAGGCGGTTGCTTGAGTTAGGAGTCATAGAAGTCGGGCAATCTGATTATGCTTGGCCTATGATCTTAGTAGAGGTCTCAGGTAAAGATCCTCGTCCTTGTATAGACTACAGAAAATTAAATTAAAAAACTATGACCGAATATTTTCCTCTTCCCAATATTGAAGAAGTGGTAGAAAGAGTCAGCGCAGCTCCATTTATCACAATCATGGATCTAACCAAAGGATACTTCCAGATACCACTCACAGAGCGTGCACGGAGGTATGCCGCATTTGTGATACCTTTTGGATCTTTCATCCCGAAGAAAATGATGTTTGTGCTTTTAAATGCGCCTTTCTATTTTTGTAAATTGATCGCCCAAATTTTAGGAGGGCTGGACAATTTTGTTCTACCGTATATTGACGACATCGCAGTCTTTTCGCCGACTTGGGACAGGCATATGAAGGATTTGGATGTGGTTTTAGGTCGCCTTCAGGAGGCTAAATTGACTGTTAAGCCCTTGAAATGCAAATTCGCACAAGACCATGTGAAATTTCTGGGTCATGAAGTAGGGTCTGGGAAAAGGTCGCCTAGTGAGGCCAAGATTCAAGCAATCAGAGATTTTTCGATCCCCTCTACTAAAACACAGATACGTAGCTACCTTGGTACTGTGGGCTACTATGCAAGGTACATAAAAGACTGCGCCAGTATTGCGGCATTTATGACAGACGCTTTGAAGGGAAGAAACAAAAAAGGAAAAGTGATCTGGACAAAAGAGTGCGACGAGGCTTTCAATAAACTGAAGACCAAACTAGTAAAAAGTCCCGTTTTATTTGCACCAGATTATTCTAAAGAATTTATTGTGCAGACAGATGCCAGCTTATATGGTGCGGGTATTGTGTTGTCTCAAATTCAGGATGCGAAGAAACACCTTATACTGTTTCTTAGCAAAACGTTTACTAAAGCGGAGCGAAATTATAGCAACATTGAAAGAGAACTAGCGGCCATTATTTATGGACTGAAGAAACTAAGTCATTTCTTAGACGGACAGAAATTCAAGATCCAGACGGATCATAATCCGTTGACTTTTTTAAACAAAATGATGGGATCGAATTCTCGTTTGACTCGCTGGGCATTGTGTCTCCAACAGTACAACTTTGAAATTGTTCATAGGCCAGGCAAATTACACGGTAATGCAGATGGCTTGAGTCGTGCCCTAGTCTAGTGACTGAATATCACTAGTGGATACAAAGTAAGGTAAAAAGTAATGAAAATGGGTGAAAACGATTTTTGTAGAGTTTTGGAATTATATTTGTGTAGATTCAAAATTGTTTGCATTGTGTGTTTCATTTTCAAAAAAAAAAAAAAAAATGTTAATGTTAGAATTAAATGTTTTATCTTAAGTATTAGCATTGTGTAAAATTTGAGAAATATGGTTTGTATAAGGCACACATTAGGAGTAGTTTAAATCATTTTTGTTGTATTTGTGCGGTTATGTTATCTAAAAATAAGTGCAGGGTAATGTAACTGGCTTCTCTATTATCACTTAAATGGTTACCACTTGTGTTTTGAAAGCAGTGAAATGTATTTAGAATTTTTCCTTCCATAGTCAAGAAAAATTCTTTATGAGGGGAGGAGTTGTGATAAGGTCACATAAAAGAAGAAGAGACTGCAGATTAATATGGACAAGGATGTCTCTTGAGAATAAGCTGAAAATTATTATTTTTTAACTTACAAACACGTTTTCAATAGTTGTTAAAATAGTCGTTATTAAAATAATTAAATCGTTGGCAATGTTAAAAACGCAAGTTCGAGAGCCACGAATTGCTCTCGCACGTAAAATGTATAGAATTTGATTTTTGAAATAGATAGTTTTTTTTTCTCTGCAGAGTGGTATGTAGCCATTTTTTTAGCATTCAATAAATTTTATTATGCTGTGTTTTGTTTTCAACCTGATGTCACAATCCAGGGTTTGCATAGCGGTTTAGCCCAGTACACCACACTAGAGACTGAAGATAACAACTTGGCCTTAAAGCAGGCACATCACGCTTTAAAATCATCTTCCAAAACTTTTGCTTAAATACTACTTCGTTAAAACTCACTTAAATGACTGATTAACATTAAATTCTCGAGCTAACTTATGAACATTCTGGCAAGAAAGTTTGGGTTAGAAACGAGAATCAAAGGAAGGTTGCTTTAAAATAAAATAAAATTAAATGAATCTCCACATCGTATGTTTTAAGATATTTTTCTTAATTACATTTTGTAATTCAAATATATTGGCAGCTACATAAATATTAAAATTTTAGATTGGCATTGAATGCTAATAGCTGTAACATGCTTAATTAATAATAGAATAAGTTACCTTAATTTAAGCTGGAAGAAATTATCAAAACTCTCCTAACTGGTCAGAGAAAATTTGCCAGTAGCAAAGAATCATTACTAGAATTTATCTTTATCACGGATTATATATATGCATATATTTCTGAACAAAGCGATTAATCTGAAAGAAAAATTTCGTAAATAATTTATTTTTTGACGAGTAGGAAAGTTAATAAAATCTATACCTACAAATCATGTTGTTGTTGTGACTTAGCTCAGGTGTCTAACAATGACATCAGAAGAAGCCCGCGAACTTCATTGCGACAAGTAGTGCAAGATTGCGCCTGTCGCTGGCAAGAGCCTTGTAGCAATACAGGTGGACACGTATTCGAGGGTCTCCCACCTTCGCCCTTACCATCAACCTCTCGATGGGATTTTCGGCTCGCTGCATATTTAGAGTGTCCCCATATCGTACAGACACCTTTGACAATACCTTTGCAAACTCCATGATGCCTTCTCCGAGACTCGAACCGGGGTCCTTCTGCAGGGCATTCAGCGCCGCTAGCCACTATCTCGTTTTGGAAGCCGGTTAGACAAACTCATTTTATGATTAAATTAGTTAGCTCCATTTAATGGTTTTCTAATGAGTTATTCAAATTAGTCTTTAATGATGATGAAAATAGTGTTAATTCGGACTTCAAATAATTAGAATATGGAAATCTTTGCAACTCTGTATTTTCAAAAAATACATAAATGGGCCGCATAAGTCTGCCTCGGGGCCGCCTGCCCAGTTTAAGGCCCAGGGTTGGCAGACCAGTTTGAGACCACAGATTTAGAGGATTGACTTAGGGCAAACATTGCGTTTTTGATGTTAAAAACATAGAGTTACTAGGTAATGAAAAAATACGTTCTTCCCAGAAGTTCTGCTTAGAAATAAACGTCAAAGAATGCTCGTTTAATCGTATGTATTTCAAATGCTTGTTCTAAAAAAAATAAGGAGAGGGGGGGGGAAGAGGAAAGAAAAATTCTTTATCTCGTTTAAAACAGTTTTTCTTTCTAACTCGAATAATTTAACTCTTAACTTGCTACATTTCGGGATTAACTCACAGAACGTTTTTCACTGTCTGAAGGAATAAAATAGTGTTTTTTTCCTGCGCGGTAAACGAAGCTTATTTTAAATTCTTAAACATTCATTATCTAAAGACTATAAAAGAGTATTAAGATCCAATTTTTAAAACGACGTTGTAATATAGCAACTGAAAAAAAAATTAGGTAATTTATTAAAGCAACTGTAAATAACTCAAAAAATTGCATTTTTGTGGGGAAAAGTAATTGTCTTAAAGAATATAGAGCTTACTTATTTTTAGGAATGGTGTATGTTGTCACAAAGTGTAGTATTGTTAAAAAGTTTTAAACGAAGGAAAGTAAATGGTGTATTGTGAAATCTGTCAAATACAACAGCTGTTAAGTTTAACTTCGCATATCTTTGGGTATCTTTCTGAGTTTTAGCAATCATAAATACATAAATTTTAATCACTACATTTAACAACTTAGAAAATAATTTATAGCCACGATGCTGAGCAATCAAACGATTTTTTAGTTTTCTTAGCAATATTAAAACCAACATACAGTGAATTTTCACATTTTAAAATATTCACATTGTTGTTGTTTTGTACATAGTACAGTAGATTTAATATCAGAGTTACGGTAGAATTCCTTAACACATTTCCGAATTCAGTACTCATATCACATGAATGTCCAAACTTATTTTCGAACTAGATATTTTTACTGAAATTTTGCAGTAATAGGTATTTAGTTACAGCGAAATGAAGAAATAATGGAAAAATTAGCATTTTTTTAAAATTTACAAATACCAGATCTAATTGCATAATTTTCCTTATACTGAATATCATGTAATCTTGCCATTTATTACCTGTCATCTAAACATAAAATATACAATAAAATTAAATAATGCTATAACACTAACATGGAAAATTATCAATGCAAAATGTCATGCTATGTTAAAAAGAAAAAATTCAAAAAAATTCATGTCAAGAAGAAATTCACTGAGTTAGCTACCATCATTTATGAAGGTAAGTAAAAATTTGGCAGTAGAACAAAACAGAAAAGCATATATTTAGACGAATAAAACCCCAAAGAGGTAAAATATATTTAAGCTTGAAACAGTACATAAAAAATATAATCTGAAAGGAATAAAAATCTTACTATCCAAATTCTAGTGTAATATTGAACAAAGTTACAAACTGGTGGCATTCCATATTGGAACGTGCGAATTCATCGAAGGGAATGAAATACTTTTATCTCTTTAAATTAGAAATTTAATATAGGATGACAGTTTTTAAGGATCTGAGAGCAAATTAACTATCGCATAGATGTATATGATGTATATTACCGTAGATCAGGGATGGGCAAACATTTTCGGTTGCGGGTCAAAAATCGAAACAAAAAGTTTGGCGCGCCAAGATAAATATTTAGATAAATATTTCTGAAATTTTAAAAACAATATAAAAGTATCAAAATTTAACTATGTTAATGAGATAAATGAAAGTGCGATTTCATTTTTAAAAGTTCCTTATATTAAGGTTCAAAGGGAGATGTACTGACTCTAAAGAACGAGGCTAAATGCTCATCTGTCAGTCTACTTCTGAAATAATTCTTTCTAAGGTTTTATGGTTGAAAACACTTGTTCACATATCTAAGATGAAGCAAACATAGCACTGATTTTTCTAATATACTAAATTTGGGAAACTTACTTTCGATAATGATTTGTAAAACTCTAACTTTGGCATATTTAGAAACAGCTGC